CCCCCCCCCCCTTTCGTATCATATTACGACACAATTTTTCAAAAATAAATGTCTCGGCTAGTATTTACCCCCCTTTTAAATAAAAGCCACCATTGTAATCCTCATAAAATAACCTTTCGCACGGGGGGTCTAGTGCCGTCAGAACATTACACAAACCGAAACAATCATATATTCACTCACCGCTTGGCCAAGGATTCTAAATTTCATATCCACTAGATCTTGAATACCCCTTGAACTCTTTGACATTTGCTGAACGGCTATATGTATAAAAATCTCTTTCTATTCAAGCGCTTTCGTGTAGAAAGTGTCGTATGTATACGCCGACTAGAAATATTTATTTTGAATTTTTCAAGATGTCGGGTTTTACTCGCACTTGCGTGCATTGCGCAATAATTGGCCAATAAGAAGCTCCTTTGGCCGGGATGACGTCAAACTCGCGCGAGTAGGTGCAATTTGACCTTGCAAATCCATTTCTGGCTTTTCCAGGGTCATACGATACAAACGTCGCATTGTTTTGACGGTTTTCAGTCGTATTTCCGGTTGGCATTACTTATTTATTTATTTATTTAACTTTGCCAATAAACATTAAAACACAGAAAAAACATATATGGACAATGGCAGGGAACACGCTACAGCTTACGCCAATTACAGCGGCCCTTACATATAAGATACGACATCACAACATTAAACTATTGTCTAATAACAACACGATACTTCACAGGACAGATTACGGGACTTGTTACAGGACAAACTTATTAATTTCCATGTTCTTGGATCATCCACGTCGTAGACAGTTTGTAATGCTACTTTATAGTACATAAAAAGTTCATTTTTTAACTGACTAAGGCTGGTGTTATTGCCCGTCAAGTTCTTTGGTAGTAGCCTACATCCCACATTCTGGTACATCTATTTAAGTAGGACTTTTGGAATGTGGTTGTCTTGCATCGTGTTGTCGTGAATGACAAATGGTCAGGATCGGATGATCTTGTTTCCCTTTGGCTGTTGACACTTGTTGGTTGAGGCAGGAAATGTTCGTCAATTCTCATGAGTCCACGAATTAGTTTGTAGAACACAACCATGTCCAGAAATTCATGCCAGTAGCTCAATGGAATAAGCCCTAAACGTGAAAGCCTCTGGTTGTATGTAGTTTCACAACGGAAGGGTAGATCCGAAGACGTACTTAGTCGCGCGTCGTTGAAGTCTTTCTGTGCGTTGGATTCGATTGATGGTTTGTGGTGCCCAGATTTGTGAACCATAGCATAGCTGCGTACGAACGAGACTCAAGTATAGAGTGCGGCGAACTGCGATGTCTTTGATGTCGAACGTTGATCTACGAATGTATCCTAGGGTCTTGGAGGCTTTGGCGCATTGGTACTCGACATGTTTAGACCAAGTCAGGCTAGATGAAGTTAATATCCCAAGATCATGCAGCGCGTATAATATCCCAAGGTCATGCAGCGTATACGGGTAGATGATTTTGTTGTGCTTACGGGTGACTCTTAACACTTTGCATTTGCTTGCATTTAATTCCAGGTTCACGTTGGTCGAGCCTTTCTCGAATTTTGACAGGTCACACTGCAGAGCAGCTGCATCAGAGATGGAATTGATGGTCTTGAAGATTTTGGTATAATCAGCAAATGTAGCAATGTTTAAATTAGTCACAGCATTGGAGAGATGATTCTCGTACAGCAAGAACAACAACGGACCGAAGATGGATTCCTGTGGCACTCCTGATGTTATCGGGAGTGGTTTCGACGTTGCTCCGAGAACGGTTGTTTGCTGGTATCGATTGGTCAGATAAGAGTTGAACCAATCGAGAACGCTCCCTCCAAACCCGAATTCGCGAAGACGAATTGTCCAAATAAAGTACGTCAATCTGCTTGCCGCGATCCAACTCACGGCCTATCTGTTCGAGAACTTCAATAAGCTGAGTGATGCACGATTTCCCAGATATAAAACCGTTCTGACAAGGATTTGTCTGCTCGTAAACGTGATATTTGATGTTATTGAATATACAACGTTCGAGAACCTTGGAGATGAGTGATAGCAGCGAAATTGGTCGGTAGTTTTCCGACTATCGGGCTATTTCGGAACTGAGTCTAGTTCCTTCGATATCAGTTATTCAGTATCATTATTAGATTACACTGATATCGAAGGAACTAGACTCAGTTCCGAAATATCGCATACTCGAACCGTCCTGACAGCGTAGCTCAGTTGGAAGAGCATTGGTATTCCGAAGGTCGTAGGTTCGAATCCCGCCGTGGCCAGGCATATTTTTCAAGCCTGCCCGGTGTGG